GTCATGGTTGTAAAAAAGAAAAGAAAAAAAAAAAGTAAAATATGTGCACTTACAACAAGGAGCCAGAAGAGGGCATTATCTTTACATGCTTAGCAGACGCCAAAAGAGCAAAGGTACCTAGAAAATTTCCATGATAATTTTTTATTAATGTTGCTACTCACCAGAGGCTTTCAAACCTAAGATGCATGAAAAGAATTACTTGGGACCTGTTAAACACACACTCTTGGGACACCCCACCCCACCTCCCCAGCCCCACTGGATCAGAATCTCAGTGCCAGGTCAGGAACTTTGAATTTGAAACGTCTTGCAGCTGATCCTCGAGCAGGGTCCCGGAAGCTACATTAAAGACCCTCTCCACAGATTGCCAAATGCCCATGGATGGAGGGGCAGGAGGTGGCAATGCCAGAATGGCCTAGGGAGCTTCCTAAAGACACCCCAAAGGTCTGTATGTTTTGACAATTCTGATGCATCACGGATGAACAGCAACTACAGCAGATAAGGAATTATTTTAAGACTACAAAAGAAAATATCAGATTACAAAATCTCAGAGGGAAAAAAGCCAATCTATAATCAGAAAAAGAAATGTAGAAGAACCAAAATATCTTAAATATTTTGTATCACATCCCTGCAAAATGAATAATTGGGGCTTGTTTTTTCTTGTTTTTAAATCTTTTTCATGGTTGGAAAATTAGCACAATAAACATTGCTACACTTAACTTCTATTATTCTTCACTGGATTACTACTTACACTTTGTCTACCTTCAAGGAAATTTGGGGAGCATTTCTCTTAAGTGGTACATATCCAATAGAATCATTAAAAAAAAAAGAAAAAGTAAATAAGTAAAAGCATATAAAAGGGAAATTGGGCAATAGAGGGCATAATGATTTCTGGAATTACTTCAGTTGAACATTAAATTTAGCTCTAGGTTTCCAGATATCAAAAAGGAAAAGAACTCTACATTTTTAAGGTGCCTGCTCAGTGCTAAGCACTGACAATGGGCACCACCACATGTAACACCAACTTTTATTTCCAAACAACCATGTCTTCGCTCAATTCATTCATTCTCTTACTCTCAAAGAATTCAAATTTTGATTAGGGCAGAACCACCAAGAGTTGCGAGTGAAGGGGGCAGGATCCCGTGGAGCACGGGGCTGGGGGCGAGGGGAGTGGTGCCCCCAAGTTGTGCAGATCAGTGGCCCTGGGTTACAAACCAATGGGACAGAGACTGATCATGTAGCAAATGGTACTGGGAAAATTGAGAACTGGGAGAAAATAAACAAAATTAGATCAGGCCTCCTGATGAATAGTGAAGAGTTAAATAAAAATCAGAAGAAAATAGACGTGGATATTTAATAGACCACAGGATAAGGAAGAAGTCTCTAAGCATAAAAGCAAAGAAAGAAGTTATACAGCAAAAGGTAGAGTTGTCTACAAACAAACAAACGAAAAATTCTATTTGTCAAAAAACATAAAATTTTAAAATAGACGACGAACTAGAAGATACATATGTAACTAATATGACTGAAAAGCGCTAATAGCTTTAACATACAAAGAACATGTACAGTGGTCAAAAAGTGGAAGATATCCAATCTCATTAGTAATTAGATGAACTCAAATTGAAACAAGAAAACCATTTTGGACTACGCATGTGGTTTTACCAAACTGAAGAAGTTGTTTTTCTGTTTGTTCGTTTCTAAGGATAATTCCTACTGGTGATAAGGGTACACTCTTTCTGGAGGCAATTTTCCTAAACTTTTCTTGTCATTCTGTTTCTAGAAATATTTGGATGTTCCAAAGATTTATCTGCAAGGATATTCATCACGCCTTTATTTTAATAATATTATAAACTCCCCAAAATACAATTAAAAGCCCAGACTCTCCAACAATCATGATTTGGTTAAATAAATAATGACATTCTAATGACAGAATGAGATGGACTGAGGCACTGTCATCAGAATCATATAGCCTATGATATTTACAGATGTGGAGAATATTCTGTACAAATTCTTATAAAGGAAATATCAAGATAAAACTATATACAATTTAATCCCAATTATGTAAATAGATTAGAGTCCACGGGGGCTGCTAGAAGGAGCCCAGAGACAGGAGTGGGGAAGAGGCTCGCTCCCCCCAGCTGTCTCCTGTCTGGTCCGCACGAGCCCACCAGGCCGGGGTAGTATCTGCCTCCTGCAGTTACCATCTCTGCGTTCCCTCACTGTTGCCTTTTTGCCTTTCGGTCCTCTGGTAATACCTGTTCAACTCATCCATACAGTAAATTGTCATTCAAATAACCACATGGTTTCTGTTTTCCTAACTGGACCTTAATTGATATGGTACACAAATTCAATTCCTTTCGTCAATTCTTGTATCAGGTTCTCTTTTAGCGCACAGATACGGGAAAGGTGGAATTCCTCCCTACGCACATAAGCCCTCGTCACTTGACCCTTGATGACCTTTCCTGACTCACCTGCTGCGGCCCCACCCCCACCTGGCCAGGCTCACACTATACCGGGAGCGCTACGCATTTTTTTCTCGATCTCCCGATGCCTCCTGAGCCCAGTTCTACTGAAACAGGACAACAACAAAAGACAGCTCAGCATTTGAGGAAGAATCATAGACAAGGAAGGAATTTGGGTTCTTCTGGGTGTTTGTTTGTTTGTTCCTTGGTAGAAACAACATCAGCAAAAAGAATGCTTTATGCTTAGGCTGACTTTCCTCTCTCTAATAATTTTCTTACTGGTGTTTTCATTCTTGTAGAAAGTTACTGGACAAGAAAGCAAGCCCAGGATGTCAGTCTGATCTCTGTCCTACTCCCCTTTCTACCTCAAGTAAGACACCACGATAACCTCCTCCTCAGAAGAGGATGCGGTGCTGACAAGGTGATGGGACGACAGAGGGTGCACACCCAAGCACCCTTTCATGCACACGTGTGCACACACATGCTCTGACCTCGAGACTAACTTACCTAACTGAAACTTACCTGCTGAAACTTCCAAACACATATAAAACATTTTCAGGGGCCGGCCCGTGGCTCACTTGGGAGAGTGCGGTGCTGACAACACCAAGTCAAGGGTTAAGATCCCCTTACTGATCATCTTTAAAAAAAATTTTTTTTTTTTTTTGTCTTTTTTGTCTTTTTTCCGTGTCCGGCAACGGATCGCAACCCTCAGTGTTGCGCCTGGACTGGACCGGGACTGGCAACGGGATCGCAACCCTCGGTGTTGCTCCTGCACCTCGCTCAGCCAGTGAGCGGGAACCGGCCTGTATGCGGGATCCGAACCCTCGGCGGGAGCACCACCACGCTTCCCAAGCGGCGCACTGTAGCAGTGCGCCACCGGGCCGGCCAAAAAAGCATTTTAAAGGAACAAAACAAAGCAATAAAAATAGAGAAAGATCCCGTGCTGCCTGCCATGGCTTCTCGTAGGTTACATGTCCTAAGCAGGGAGGGGACAAGCACATCTCACATATCACAATGGGCTGTGGCTCTCCAAAAGGCTTCAGGACATAAACACAAATACAGTGTGTGAGATACCAAAATGTCACGGGCCTGGAGCAATTAGGAGAAAGTGTCTAAAAGGCTATTGGAATGGGGGAGAGGGAAAGGGGGTTGAGAAATACTGGCTTAGATGAAACCAGACAAACTTGCTTCGTTCTGCCGCTTGAGCTCTCACATTAGTATTACTTTTCCCTCGAGATTTCTAACAAACTCGGCAGAAGTATCATTTTTTCTTGAGTAAGAAGAGTTGGGAACATAATCCAGGGGAGAACTTCACACCGACTGAATCTGTGCCTTGGCCAACAGCACCTTTTATAAAAGCTGAGTATCAGCACTCAAGTGAGAGGCTTCCTTTGCTGCCAACAAATTTTCGGGTGAGGGCCGGCCCGGTGGCACACTCGGTAGAGTGCGGCGCTTGGGAGCGTGGCGGCGCTCCCGCCAAGGGTTCGGATCCCATATAGAGACTGGTCTGCTCACTGGTTGAGCGCGGTGCGGGCGCAACACTGAGGGTTGCGATCCCGTTGCCGGTCACGAAAAAAGACAAAAAAAGGGGAAAAAAATTTTTTTTCGGGTGAGGCTAAGTGGCTTATTGCTTTATCTTGAACCACCACTTTTCTAGAAAAAGAAATAGTGTTTCGAGCCACTCCATGTGCTCTACATCAGTCTGAGTCCGGGTCCCCATCAGCACAGTCACAGAGGAGGAGTGCCACCTGCGTTCCCACTACAGAAAGAGGCGATTCACACAGCACGCCACCTCTGCTCGATGGTGATGACACACGTGCACGCCTTCGTCCACCATGCTCTGACACGACACTTGCGTGACCAAAGCACAATTCACTCTCTCCATGGTTTTGAGTCTTAGCTACCGATTACAGTCACATCATGCTTTGCAAATACTTTATTCTAAGACATGCATGACATGCACCCAAGTGCACACTTTCACTCATGTGATGACAACATGTGCTCCCTGCATCATCTGCAGCATCTGCTCTGCTTAACACTGTTCACGCACTATAGTCTTCAGTTATTCAATTATTTTGATCAAATATCATGAACAAGGTATTGTGCTGGGTGCTGTAGGGGCTAACAGGATGTTAAAAGCACAGTTTCTGCCTGTGCAGAGAAATAGAAATGCACAAGTAATTCTATAATATAAAGCACTTTGCAACGATGATGGAAGAGATGTACAAGCCCGAAGCTGTTGGTGTCTCAGGGGAGGGAGACGTCACCCCTAGAGGCAGGAAGCCAGGGAAACTGCTGAGCGTGAGCCTTACAGAACAGCGGATCTCAGCAGGTGAAACGGGGGAGAGGAAGAGCCGCACTGATGAGCCGCCTGGGTTAAGGGGCAGGTGCAGGAAAGCTCGAACAATGGCCAGACAGGAAGACAAGGCATGGGGCTTGTAGGCTAAGCCCATAACACTGTCTATATTCAGAAGTCTTAACACCGAATATTTTTTAAACTAGGAATATATCATCTTCAGTAAAAAGTTTAAGACCATTTACCTTCACTTGGAAATTTCTTGGCTCGTTCCTCAAAGAACCATTGTCCAGTTTTTATTTTCACATTTCTGAAAAACAAGCAAAAAGGACACTTCAGATGGAGTAGATATGAATAGGGCTATATTCAGCCCACAAGAAGTAGGTCGGTAATATCACAAAATATTAGTCTTGCAAGGGACCTCGTAGTTCAATTTTCTGGCTCAAACACCCAAATTCACAGATTTTCCACAGAGGTTAAATGATGTGACTAGTTGGCAGCAAAGCTGTGAGTCTTCACCTTCAGTATATTTTACCCCAAGTGTAGTATGTACATGTCGTAAACACATATCAACATACGCTTGTGCCCAACACATATCAAGTACTTAACAAAATCGCTATCAAAATGATCAATTTATCATTTTAATGGTAGGAAGCAATGGCATGAATGATAAACTACAGCAAACTTCAATGCTATGCATTTGGCTAAGAGGGTGGTCATCCTTAGGTTAAGTTAAGGTTATTTGTGTTTACCACAATTACCTAGAAGCAACAGAGTAGATCTACCTGAGAAGGTTCCTGGGAGGACCTGAAGTCTGAAATACGGGATTGGTGTGCTCGATGGAGATTTGGGGACCTGCTTCTGCGTGGACCACTTGGAAAATAGGGAAATGACCTCTTCTTGGCCAGCTGGGCTGACAGCAGCTCCCCAGGCAGGACCACAGCTCCTACATCTTAGTCACGTGCATTACAGCACATAGAACACTTTACATGCTGACTGCTTGAAACTGAAGCCTTAAGTGTGTCTTACTCTTGACAGTTTCCAGATTTCTGGAGAAACCACACTTAACCTCAAAGAACCTCGGAAAGGTAGAATTGCTCATATCCTTTTAGGATATAAAAGGGAAAACACACAGATATTATAAATTGTTCAAACCCTTAAATATGCCACAAACTTCTCAAATAATGTGCCACAAAACTTGTCAATTCCTGGTTGTGCATGTTTAAGAAAAAATTAAAAATTCAACTATTGTGAAGTCTCATCTATCAATTATTTACCAAAATAATTTCTCCATTACATTCTTTCAGGCTATATATGAATTCAGGTGGACTTTTATTCAAGTTAATCCTTGAAAATGCTATTAATGTAAGTAAAATCACAAACATATAACAATCCACATGTTTTAAAAAATATCTTATCTTTCTCTATGGAGCACTAGCAGTTATCAGAACTTTCTCCCCTTCATCTGGTTAGAAATTATTATTCTCTAATTAGATTATTACCAGTGTTGAGTGACTAGAATGAGGAAAATACACATAGAGCATTTAAGAATGTCATAACAGAATTTTTATAATCAGTCACTACCATTGAGAGCCAAAAATATATAAAATGTTCAACTGTGATACATCTCTAGAGAGAGAGGAAAAAGTTTGCATCCATAAAATCAGATACTCAATATCTAACCTACTGAAGAGGCAATCTTAGCCTCTCAGCAGACAGAAGTCTTCCCCTCCAGCACTTGAAGGCAAGCAGAGAATCAAACATCGGAAAAGATTGAGAGAGATTAAAGGGGTGGTAAATTCATGCTCCTTCAAAGTGCCACACCTGCCACTTGTCTTCGTTCTGAGGTGACTCATCCTACGCAGGACAAGTTCTAATCATTAGGCCAGGTGAGCAGAAGAGCAACCCAAAGCGCAGGAATAAGAGGCCTCCATCTGATACAGGTAATTCACACTCTGGATTTTTTTTTTCTGGTCGTGGTGACCCGTTTCAGCTGATCTATTCTTTCACACTCCCCAGCCTGCTACCCTTGTGGCCAAAAGCATACGTATCCGAGACCCGCCTTTAGCCAGCTGAACTAACCAGACACAGGCCAGCACTGACAAGGCCAACACACATGCAGACACACAGTCATGGAAAATGAGAAACAGTTAAGGAGTGGGGAAGGGGGAGATGAGAGCCCCCGAGTAAATCAACGTCACACATCGTTAAAAGTATCCTCTAGCCCTGATTTCAGAACCTGTACAAGAAGCAGATAAATTAAAATCCTAGTCACCTAGTGCTAATCGTCTAACATAACTATCTAATCATCTCATTTAATCCCAACTGATTACTTGTGCAGTCTAAGCAGGAGCTAATTCGGCACAGAGAGATTTGGGCACAAATTTGCAGGTCTCTTGGGTTTATCTGTGATTAAAGAATAGAAGGATAAAAATACCACAGTCGTAAACCACACCATGACCAGCATTTTTTGTGTTTGAGACTGTTTCCTTTGAATGCTAGATATGAGCTGGATTTCCATCACCTCTTCTTGCAGAATCAGCCATTTTGCAAGCAATTATTCCATAACATCTTTCATAACGACTCTCTGATTACACCAAACCCAAGTCTAAAAAGGAGGACCATCATTGCTCTTACTATCCACGATCGAGGTGAACAGATCCTGCAGTCTCTGTCCTCATTAGGGCCAACACATGGTAGCACGATTCACAGTAACCAAAGGAAGCATTTAGCACTTCTTCTCAGATGATTAAATCAGAATTGGGTTATGAAAGTTTCTTGGACCATTTTATGAGCTCAGCAATAGGTTAATGCTTTTAAATTTCTCAGATAAGAAACATGACTTGTTTCTTTAAAACTTTTTCAATCAATCCATAAATATACCCAGAAAGGCAAAAGCCTTGGGTGGTGTAAAGAGCAGAAAATGTAATCAGGGGACTTGACACATGCCTGACCTTCCCAGTAGCTCAGAAGTCCCCTGCATGAAGATCACTAGAATTATAAACACCAAGCACTGGGTGCATAGACAGCTCTTAATAAACTTCTGGAGGTTTCAGCATCCATTTTCACAGCCTTGAACTCTACTAATGCTGTCATTTTATTGGCAAAAAAGAAATAATGGTTAAAAAGCACTTTGCAAACTCTAGCATACACATGTTCAATAATAAGATTATTATTAGAAGGGTACTCTGTTAGGAGTACCCTAACGAAAAGATATTTTGACCTCATTACTATCGCCAAGCGGTGAGCCAGAAAGGCATGTTGGAATGTATTCTTATTTTGCATCCAAATTACCTGCATCTGCAGGTGGCTAGTACATCTATGCTTTATGCTCTTCAAAAAGTCAGCATGACATCCCTCCAGTTTCTTAATGTATTTTCACCATGTGGCTGACAAGAGGCAGAAAATTGGTCTACGTGGTCAGGATTCTTCAAGTGCCTAAAGAAGCACATCTCCTGTGCAGATCTGCTCTCTGACCAGTGCCCTGGTGGCAAGGAAGTCTGAGAGCGCCCTGGAGAGGGCCCTGGTGGCTCATCAGACACACAAAACTGTAATAACTCTGAATAAAGAAGCCAAATATTGTAAAACCAAGATCAACCTAATTTCTTTATGGTAGTTAGTCCAAATGCTTGATAATTTCCAGCTAAAGTAGTCCTATACAAGCATAAGTTTAATTTTTTTAAAATTTCAAATATTCTTGTATCTAAGATGGTTTATTGCTACCAAGCAAAACAGTGGGTTTTTTTCCACTGGTTCAGTTGATCTGATTTCGATGTTCTTCCGGGAAAAAGACTGATCATTGTGATTAAATACTAGGTATCTATGAGAGGAGTCAGAGAATCGAGATGAAGATAAAGCGATGATTTTATCAAGCTGCTACCAACACTTCTTGCAAAACATTAGTAACTCTCCCTTCCTTTCCCTCGGAGAGAGGGCAGAAACTCTCTCTCTCACATCGATAGCCCCAAGCACTGTCAGGGCGCATGACAGCTCAGTGAGTACATTTGGGCTGGCGAATGAATGAACATTCCCATCTCTGCATGGGGCACCTGAGAATTCAAGGGATAATAAGGTGGGATCCGAAACAGGCAGAGTCGTGTAGCAGCGGGCACCACAGTCTCATGTGTGCCATGCCCTCTAGGTGTGCAGGGCAGGGCACAGGCCCAGGCAGCAAGCAGAAACTGTGAATGAGCGAAGGGGGCTGGCTGTGAGGCAGCAGGGAGGGGTGGGCACTCAGGGTAGCCCGAGAGCCCATGGCCCATTTTAAGGCATTAAGATGATAAATATTAAACACTGTGCAGACCAAAAAAGACAAGGCCTGTGGGCTGTCTGCAGTCTGCTGGTCACGAGTTCATGACTCCTGGCTTATTACATCAGATAACTAGTCACCAAAAGTAAGGGAACAATTCTACTGCAGCCTGATGGAGCTGTCCTTGTTTATAGCCAAGGCGATAAAAACTGGGTTAGACGCTATGCATCGACCTATCCTCCCCTGCAGATCTGAAAGGAGGACCCACAGGTACCAAAGGGGCAAAGAGAAGGGCAGAAAGGCAGGAAGCACCTGCTCCCTGTCGCCACACGCCTCACCTGGATGTCTGAAGAGACAGCCAAGGGCCTCTGACAAAATGCCACAGCAGGATCAATGGCGACTGACCAGAGCACCAGCCACGCTGGATGTCATCGCCATGGGAACAGAGAGCACACTCTCTCGGAAAGCAAAGACACATAAGACCCGCCTCTGGGAAAAAGAAACAGAAAGGTGTCAGGACAAGCCAGGCTGAAGTGCAGAGACCACGGGACTAGAACAGAGGCGGAGTTAGGGACCGAGCCAGGCCAAAGCAGAAGGGACGGACGAGAAAACCCACACACTAAATGCTACTTCCAAGGAAGCCAGGGTGAGTGGCACACAGGAATGAGCAGAAGAATCAGACCTGACTGAAGAAAATGTTACTGAGCCTGAAAAACAAGCAAACCCGATGGGTAGGCAGCTCAAGAGAAGGCTCCTTATTCCAAAAAATCAACACGAAGAGACGCATTCCCGGACACACGTTAGAAACTATTTTCTATTACATGGATGCAGAAAAAAACAAACATGTTTCTAGCCCTTAAAAAAACAGGTGATAAATAAATTGAATGCAACTATCCTCAGATGTTTCTGGAATATTATATTCCAAAAGACAACCAGGTTGCATTTCCTGGATTTCTTGATGAAAACGTTGCGAGCCAGGATTTAAAAACCCAGTGAAGTCATTACTCGTGAGGGAAAGCCACTGAAAGGCATTCTCAGATATGCAATGGCTTAGGAAATAC